AAAAAAAAAAAAAAGGAACCTCAGCCCTTGCTTATTAGGCCCCAAGAAACCCTTAGATTGGGAGAAGACAGAGACCTCCAGCCTCTGAATTGTAGGGTCTCCTCCTCCCTCAGACAGGGAGCATCTTGAGGCCAGGGAGCCGCTCCAGCTTCAGCCTCATCTTCCCTCCCAATGTTGGGCCCCCCTGAGCCTCAGTGACCCCATCAGGCAAATGGGATCAGTTAGAGACAGGTGATATGGGACCCTTGCTGGGGAGGGGCATCTCTCTCTTTTTTATTTCCAGCCCCCTAAGCACACTCTGCAGTAGACCCTGCATCCCGCCCTTTGCAGAGGAGGGAACTGAAGCTCAGGATGTTGGGGGACCCCTCCACATCAAACAGGGCATGGGGGGCAGGCCGTGTCCTAAACCTGACTCTCCTGACCCCCAACACCACTGACATACAGGTTTTTCCCTCCTAAAATAATTTTTGTAGGATAGTACAGGATAATAATTTTGCCTCCTGAAATCTTTTAAGCAAAACTTTTACTTTGGGAATAATCTTAGATTTTCAGAAAAGTTCCAAGGAAGTAGCCAGCTCCCCTAGAAACGGCCCCCAGCCTCCCCACATGCGAACATCTTACGTTCTTGAGTGCGTCTGTCCACAACGGAGATGAACATTGGCATGTTGCTAGGGACTAAACCAGAGATTATGCAGATATCCCCCGTTTTTCCACGCATGTCCTCTTTTTTTTTTTTTTTTTTTAAGCAAATGTCCTCTTTCTGTTCCTGGATCTAATCCAAGCTCCCACATTGCGCTTAGAATAATTGTTTAAAATGGTTAAAGAGCTAATATTTTTTTCAATTTTTTTTTACCTTTTACCAAAAGGTGAAACTATGTATACATATATATGATCTGGTCCTAGGGCAACTGCGGACGTCAGGAGGATGCTGGCTTCGGTGAGAATAATAGTACCAACAACAGCGGCAGCATGCTAGCATTAATTGAGCACCCACTGTATGCCAGGCCAAGTGCTAAATTCTTTGTATGCTTGCTGGCCCGCCCTGTAGTTCAGTATTGGATTATTCCCATTTCACAGGTGAGGAAACAGCCTTGGGGGTGAAAAGCCATTCATTGATCAGGGCCACATCCCAATGGGTTGGCCTTGTCTCGACTCCGACCTAGGGCCGGGGCAAGAATGGGAGATCTTGAGGCCCCCCAAGAGAACAGGGCCTGGCCTATTCCCGTGGTGGCCCCAGGGCCCAGCACACAGTTGGCACTCAATAAGTGTATGATGGCTAAATGACGAGTGCCAAGCCCCGGGCACCCCCAGGTATGGGACAGCCCTTCAGCTTGATCTTTGGCCTATTTCCCTGCCAGAGTCCTGCCTCTGCCCCCTGTGGACGGATGCAGCCCAGGAATTCCAGCTACGCAGGCGGCGACTCAGGCCGGGAGCCCCAGGAGACCCCTGGAGCAGCTGGAGCAGCCCCGTGTGTGTCCCCCCTGGTGAGAGCACTCAGAGCCACAGGAACGGGGCAGGCATTAGAAATACAGCAGTGGGGATTAGAAATAAGATGGCAGGTGTTAAAAATAAGGCGGCGGGAGAAATTCGTAGTAATTAATAAAAGGTGGCAGGGCAGGGCTCCTGGGTGGCTCAGTCGGTTAAGCGTCTGCCTTCAGCTCAGGTCATGATCCTAGGGTCCTTGGGACCGAGCCCTGGCTTGGGCTCCCTGCTCAGCGGGGAGTTGGCTTCTCCCTCTGCCTCTGCCCCTCGGTCCCCCTACCCCCCACCCCCACTCATGCGCGCTCTCTCTCTCAAATCAATAAATAAAATCTTAAAAAAAAAAAAAGGTGGTGGGGCAGTGAGCGAGTTTCACTTTGTAAAATGTGGAGAATCCGTAATCTAAAAAGAAACGTTTTCCAGTCTTTCTCTCCTTCCAATGTGTCCAGTTGGTTTTGCTCTTTTAAAGCCACACAGGGAGTTGGCAGGGGGAGACCACTGTGTCGAGAACACGTAGTTTCCCAAATGACACAGGAAGCTGGAGTTTGGGCAGCTCCGAAGTGGAGATGTGGCCCAAGAGGCAAGGAAGGATGAGGTGATTGTCAATATTTTGCCCCTGGCCTTGTGACCTGGGGTCTCCTCCGGCCCCAGTGCCATTATCTGTGGGAAACAACTCCAAGAGTTATTTTCAGACTTCAGAACAAAAATTGTAGTAGAAAATGCATAATATAAAATGTTCCACTTTAATCATTTTAAAGTGTAGGGTTTTTTTTTTTTAAGACCTTATTTATTTATTTGAGAGAGAGCGCGCACGCATAGCAGGGGGAGGGGCAGAGGGAGAGGGAGAGAGAGAATCTCAAGCAGACTCCCCATCAAGCCTGGAGCCCGATCCCACAGCCCTAAGACCATGACCTGAGCTGAAATCAAGAGTCCGATGCCTGAATGACTGAGCCACCCAGGCGCCTCTAAAGTGCACAGTTTTATGGAGTTAAGTATAGTCACGTTGTCATAGACTAGATCTCCATGTTTCCGATTTTGAAAATTATTTAACGACCCATGGGAATCCTGTGTTTCAAGGGAGGGAAGGAAAAGGTCCTGGGTCCCTGTGCGGGGTCTGCGGGAGGTGGCGGTGAGCAAGGGACAACCCCCAGCGTCACTGTCTTGCCACCCCATTGCAGAACATCCCCCAAAGCCCACCTTGAAGTTCTCGGTGGAGGCGCTCCGTCCACATGGGAGGAGGCAGGTCACCCTGCACGGGCAGGTAATGGGCCATCACAACGCTGTGGGGTGGCCGGAGATGGGGAGAAGGAGACAAGAGGCTGGAGTCGGGGTGTGCAAGTGGGATACGGTGAGGGAAGAGACGTGGAGGTGGCAAGGACTCCAAGGACTGTGGGTTTAACTCTGCAGTTAATGGGGAACAATGGAGGGTGTGTGAGCAGAGAAATATGACTGGGTTCAGGTGTTCACAGACTTCCCCTGGCTGCCATGGGGGGAACAGACTGTGAGGGTCTAGGGTGGAAGCAGGCAGGCCGGGGTGGGCCATGTTGGTCTGGGTGGGAGATAATTTCCTTGAAATCCCCCAAACAACCCATTAAGAGCAGTCTAATTAACCCCCGTTTTACAGAGAAGGAAACTGAGGCACAGAGGGAAAATCTCTTGCCCAAGTCAGGGGCAAAACCATCAGATGTTTCACCCACTGGCTTTACCATAACTAACTTGGCCGGGTCCCTAATGGGCTGGCACAGTGAGGCTGAAGTAAAGCTTTACTTCCTGCCTTTCCTCTCATTTGAATTCCCTTTCTTAGGAAACATTTCCAGGCTTGAGGTAACTGGGTCCAAAGATAGAAAAAACATTTTTTTCCTGACTCTCAGTAGGTTTTGCCAAATTATTTTCCCTCCAAGCCAACATGCACTGGCCATGAATGCCTATTTCCCAGCAGCCTCGCCAGCACCACGGGTTTTGTTTTGTTTTGTTTTTAAAGATTTTATTTATTTATTTGAGAGAGAGAGTGAGAGAGAGCATGAGAGGGGAGTGGGTCAGAGGGAGAAGCAGACTCCCCACTGAGCGGGGAGCCCGATGCGGGACTCGATCCTGGGACTCCAGGATCACGACCTGAGCTGAAGGCAGTTGCTTAACCAACTGAGCCACCCAGGCGCCCGTTGTTTTGTTTGTTTTTAAAAAAACTTTTGGCTCATGTCACAGACTGTGGTCCATGGATGAGTCTGTTCAGGGGCTGCACCCTGATGTTGGCCCATGGGCATGATGACTGTGTTCAGGTCTCCACAAACCATCTCTCACATTCACGACAGCTGCCCCAGCTTGAGCTTCCAGAAGGCTGCCTCGGGTCCAACTCTGGCGGGGAGGTGACCTACCGCGCCCGCCTGCACATGCTGTCCTGCACGTGTAAGACCAAGTCCACAATGACCTTTCAGCTGAGGAAACCGCTCAATCTCTCTGGCGCGGCCTATGACCTGGCTGTTGTTTCCCAGAATCGCTTCGGCCCCGGCCCCAACCAGACGTGGCACATTCCTGCCCAAACCCACACCCACACAGGTGCCTCCTCTGGCCGGGGAGGGCTGCGGGAGGGCCTCTCAGAGCTCAGCACTTATTCTGAGCCTCCGCTAGACTAGGGTGAGGCAGGTGAGGCACAAAAATCAAACAGGTGTCGAATTTAGGAATGTGTCAAAATCACTAATTAAGGTACATACTGTTAAAATGCAATATTTTTAAAAAAACTCTAGCTGGCAAACTACAGCCCAGGCCAACCACCTGTCTTGGTACATAAAGTTTTCTGGGACCAGGGCGGGGATCAGGGTGTGGTGAGTGAGGCAGGATGGCGCAAGTACACGATTGATCCTATCTTCATTTAAAATCTTGATATTTGTTTGTTATGTATATGTATAGACATGCTTAAAGATGTACCTATATTTATAGATATGAGGAAAAAATCAAGACTTACATTTATGTATACATGCATGTGAATACATATACATATGTTATTGAGGTGAAATTCACATAGCAACATTAATCACTTTAGTAGGTACGATTCAGTGGCATTCCGGACATTCACAATGATGGACAACCATCACCTCTGTCTAGTTCTAGAACATTTCTATCATCCCTAAAAGGAGACCCCATGCCCATTAGCAGTCACCCCCCCCCGTCCTTTATCCCGGCCCCTGGCACCCACTAATCTGCTTTCTGTCTCTGTGGATTTGCCCATTCTGGACATTCCATATACATGGGATCACACACCCTGTGGCCTCTTGTGACCGGCGTCTCTCACCCAGCGTCACGTTTTTGAGGTTCCCCCATGTCGTAGCGTGTGTCGGGGCTTCACTTCCTTTTCGCGGCTGAGTAACATTCCACTGTGCGGATGGACCACGTGGTGTTTATCTGTTTTTCCATTAATGAACATTTGGGCTTTTTTCACCTTTTGGCGATTAGGAAGAGCGCTCATCACACATTTTTGCATTCATTTTTTGATTCTTAAAAAATATTGCATCGAAACAGTGTTTATCGTGATGACTGAGCTCTTTGGTGCCTCCAGTTTTCTGCCTGATGCGTGCCTCACTCACCTCACCCTGGTCCTGGGCCTACCGAGCACCCAGCAGTCCTGGGAGGACAGGGCTGGTACAGTGATGCCCATTTCAGAGATGAGACCACTGAGGCTCAGAGACAGAAAGCCCCTCGTCATGGTGGCACAGCCACGAGTCTGTCAGCTCCTGGCCCGGTTTGGGTCATGGCCCCACTGTGTGACCGCGCGCCAGTGGCTCTCCCTCTCTGAGCCTCAGTTTCTGTATGATTGGGGTGCTCACGCTCCCACTTTGTAGCAGAGTGGCACCCGTCAAGCACTGAGCACTGGCCTGGCGCATACAGCTGGTGCTCAATAAATGGTAGTTGTCTCTGGAATTGGAAACAGTGCCCGCCTCCCTGAGGTTGTTGCCGATGCCCTTGCTGGAGGGAGCGGGGAGAGATGAGCCCTGGGGACCGAGTGGGTGTGTCCTCAGGCCACTGAGCTCTAGTCGGTCTGGGAGGCCCATCCTGCACCACACCCACCCGCCGCTGGGGGGCGCAGAAGGTGGGGGGCCGGGCATCTGCTAGAGCAGGAGATGCTCCCCGGGCTGGTGGGTGGGGGGGGGGAGGTAGGCAGCACAGATGGTGGGCGTTTTGGCACGGAACTCACGGTCAGACCTAACTCATTCAAACCGCCCTTGCTAGCCTAACCCTGCCTCTGTGCCTGGCCCCCAGCCCGGCAGCCCCCAGTATTGAGGAGACGGAGCTAGATACAGAAACTCGCAGCCCTGTGGGGTTAGAGTTTGGCGAGAGGGTGGGATGGGGCTATGGGAGCCTTGGACTGCGGCGGGGGTGGGGTGGGGCGGGGGAGGGGAGTGGAGCAGCTGTTCTGATGTGCCTCTCTCATCTGCTTCCAGAACCAGGGGCTCTGAATATCAGTGTGGGAGCCGACGGGACCACCATGCACTGGCCAGCCCAGGCCGGGGCCAAGACATATTGCATTGAGTGGCAGCCCCAGGGCCAGGACAGGAACCTTACCCACTGCGCACTGACTCCGCCCCAGGACCCGGACCCTACCGGAATGGGTACCGTAACGTCAGTAGCCCCGCCTCTGCCTCCTCCCTTAGAGCCCCCGGTCGGCTCCTACCTATAGGGGCTGTGCGTGTGAGGTGTCTGAGGCCCAGAGCGCTCTTGCTCCTTGCCCGAGGTCACGCGGAGGTGGGACAGGCTGAGACTTGGACCCTGCCACCCATGTGGGTCTGAAGCCTCCTGCCAGTGTCCTGAGGTGTCAGGGCTTATAGCTCCCGGCAGATTGCACCCCAATAGGTAATGAGTTTCACATCCCAGGGTGTTTGTTAAACAGCCACCTGCGCCAAAGAAGGTGGCAGCCCACAAGATGCTGGTGGCAAATTAATGAGGCCTCTGGAGAAAAAGGGGGAGCCTTAGAGCCCCGGCAGCCTCTCACTCTCCCACTTCCTACCCTGGGCCTGGCCAGGGCCCCCGGAAACCTCAGCCTCAGCCTGGCCCTTGACGGGTTCCTAGACTTGGGAGCCAAGAGCTGGATCCAGATGCACCTGGCCCCGTAGAGTCCGGGCTGGGCTGCAGGTGGGAGATGGGCTAAGGGGAGAATAAGGAAGGGATCCTGGAAGAGGGGACATTGGTGCAAGGGCTTTGAAGCATGAGCAGGAGTGCTCTAGGAGTTCCTGGCATGAGGTACGGCCAGTGCAAAGAGGCGGAGGTGGAGATACAACCTATTTACCGGCCTGGGCCTTGTCAATCCTTCTAGCAACCTACAGCTGGAGCAGAGGACCTATGGAGCAGAAGGTGTGTTACCACATCACGATCTTTGCCTCTCCACGCCCAGAGAAGCCCATCTCGTGGTCCACGGTCTTGTCCACCTATCACTTTGGGGGCGATGGTGAGTAGCCCACACCTGCAAGGTGGTCTCTCTGGAGGGCTTGGTGGTGGCCTTGGGTGTCGGGAGGAGGGAACGAACACTTAGAGGCACTTACTCTGGGTCAGGCCTTGGCCAGAAGCCAGGCGTGCAGAAGTCCCAGGGGATCCCAAAGACACCCCCCCCCGCCCCCGCCCCGAGCGGCATTGCCCCATTTCATAGATAAGAAAAGTGAGTCTCAGAGAGGGGCAGCGATGGGGCCTGAGTCGTGGAGCCGGGATTCAAACCCAGGCCCGCCTGACTCTGTTGCCAAGCTTCCCTGGGTCTCTGGACGGTGCCAGGCTGGGCAGGCAGGAAACATTCAGCCAGTGCTCTTGGAATTGACCATGGCGATAGTGCTAGTTGCAGCCTCGGGGGCCGGACGCCCACAACACGTGTTGGTGAAGAAGCTCAGCCAGGACTCCGTGTCTGTGGACTGGACACCATCCCCGCTGAGCACTTGCCCGGGGGTCCTGAAGGAGTACGTCGTGCGCTACCAGGATGAGGAGGGCAACCTCATGTCTGGTACGTGAGGCAGCGCGGGCCGGGCGGGGGGAAGAAGGGGCCTGGGGTCGATGTCTGCCTTGCTAGGGGACCCTGAGCACCTCACTGGCCCTCTCTGGGCCTTGGTTTTCCCACCCATAAAACAAGGGTTGTTCGACTCAAAGAGGCCAGACTGCCCTTTCCGGACCCCCAGGAGGGCCCCGTGGGCAGCAGCTGTGGGCTCACAATGGACTCCGTGTATGGATCACAACCCCTCGTGCGAATCGGCAACTGGACTCCCATGGAGCGGGATGATGGTGTCCATTTCACAGATGGGGAAACTGAGGCCTGGAGAGGGATTCCTGCCCCCAAGGGTTAAGCAAGCCTGGATTTGGGCTCAGTCAGGTGCCCCTTCCTGCCCCTTGGGAGGGAAAGAAAGCAGAACGTACAGGGCAAGTCTCACCAGTGCTGGGGTTTCCTGTTGTTTTACACACTGGGGGCTCCACCTTCCACGCGGGGAACACAGTCTTTTGGATACGGCCTCACCCAGCCACCTCCTGCAGCAACAGGCCAGGCCAGCAAGACCTGCCTCTTCGAGTCTCTGCCTTCTCACCAAGCACCCAGCACCTGTCAAGGCATGAATGCCGGGGCGGGGGGGGGCTTGCTGGGGGGATGCTCTAACCTCAGAAACACAGACATCCTGCCATCTGCTTGACCACCCATTGTTTAGAGGGGGTAAAGGAAGCCAAGTGGGGTTCAGTGTCTTATCCAGGGTGGCGCAGCTGGAAGCAGCCCTTTTACCAATTTGCCGAAAGTCAAAATGCTGAAGATGAATGCGCCAAATGCCCATTGGCCAAATTGACCAATCCCCCTTCCCCCTCCCCCCCGCTCCAATTTCTTTTGAAGAATATTCCTCTTGAATATATGTATATACGAAGAATATAGACCTAGGGTTCTAGGAATTGTTTTCTTCTTGATAACAGCCAACAACTGTATTCTCATTTTAAGGATTTTTACGGAGAGCTTTATTTGTTAAAGCCATCCAATTCCACAGCGTGTGCTGAGGTCCTGCTGTGTGCTGAGGTTGTAGGGACACTGAGGAAGCAAGATAGGCAAAGTTAATGCTGATCTTCACCCTAAAGACGGGAAGAAGGAGAGGGAGGAAACCATGGGGATATCTGGGGAAAGGGTGAGCAAGGTAGAGGAGGCGGGACTGCCAGTGCAAAGGCCCTGAGGTGCAACTGAACCTTTAGGGAGCTTGGACGATGGGGCTGGGTCCGGGAGTGAGCAAGGAGCCAGCAGAGGTCAGAATTTGAGAAAGATAGCATCATTCACTAAATAGTTTGGGGAAGAATATTCCTCCAAATAAGTTGAGGTGAATGGGTACATTCAGAGTTTTCAGCAGGGACGCCTGGCTGGCGCAGTCGGTTAAGCATCCCACTCTTGGTTTCGGCTCAGGTGGTGATCTCAGGGTCATGAGATCGAGCCCTGCCTCAGGCTCCACACTCAGCGCGGAGTCTGCTTGAGATTCTCTCTCCCTCTCTCTCTGCCCCTCCTGCTCATGCTCTCTCTCAAATAAATAAATCTTAGATTAAAAAAAAAAGAATTTTCAGCAAAATGTGCTTGAGTCCCCACTACCACTCCCAGGGTGTGGCTGCCCAGCCAGGACCTGGGCATCCCACCCCTGAGCCTGGCCTCCTGGGAGTAAAGGGAGTCTGGGGACCCAGGGCTGCCTCCCTCCCACAGAGCTGCCCGTGAAGCCCACAGAGACCCAGGTCACCCTTGGTGGCCTTCGGGCTGGCACAGCCTACACCGTGCAGGTTCGAGCAGACACAGCGACACTGCAGGGCGCCTGGAGTCAACCCCAGCCATTCAGCATCGGTGAGTAGGAGAGCAGGGCCTGGGTATGTACCCAGCATGCACTGCCCCATCCCGAGCCTCCGCAGGCAGCCCCGCCCTGGCCCTGCTCCCCATGTATCTCCCACAGGAGAAGGTCCCAGCCCACTCTGCTCCCCCTTCCTTGTGCAGTTTCCCCTCAGGGACCTTCTCTCACACTCCCATTGCCTTGCCCATGCAGGCCCCTCTGCCTGGGATGTTTGTTCTCCCCGCTAACTCCTATTCATCCTTAAAACTCAGATCAAAAGCTTCCTCCTCCAGGAAGCCTTCCATGCTTTCCCCTGGGTGCCCACCCTCCCCTCCCCCCGCCCCTAGCTGTGACAATCCTTCCTTCCTGGCCTGACACCTTGGGAGTGGGTGAGGGTGTCTGTGTCCAGGCTCTGCCTCCCCCAGCCTGGGGGCTCCAGGGGAGGGGGAGGGGGCTGGGGGCCATTTGTTGAGTGAATGAATGAATGAATATGAATGAATGAGTGTCTCTCTTGTCATAAAGATAAGGAGGTGGGCTCCGCTGTCTTGGGTGTGTGGCCAGAAGATATTTGGAAACCAAATGATCCCTATTCCTGCCATGGTCCTTTCCTGTTGCCCTTATAGAGCAGTCGGGTCTCAAGAGAACCAGTGGGTCAGGCTTGGCATGGGGCGGCAGGTCTGGGTCCAGGGGAGCAATCACGTGAGCACAACCTGCGGGCACGTGGAGCTACAGTGTCCTGAGCCCTGTGCGCCAGGCCTTTATCCTGCAGATGCAGGGCAAGTGGGTTCCCTGGCCTTCTGCTTCACACATGAGGAGCCAGGCACAGAGGGACCCACGGCGTGCCATGGTCAGCAGGGAGTTGCTGGAGGGTCCCAGCAACTCCTTCCCAGCTCCCTTCCCCGTGAGAGGCAGCAGGTGTCCCTCCCCCAGTTCAACCTCTCCCACTCCCAGAAGTCCAGGTTTCCCGGTTGTTCGATTTGTCCATACTCCTCGTATCTCTGGGGAGCTTCGCCAGCATCCTTCTCCTGGGCGTCGTTGGGTACCTCAGCCTGAACAGGTAATTTGCACCATCTCCCCCAAGATGATCCGTAATGGCAATAGTGATCATAGTAACTGCTCACACTGAGTCGGTATTTGTGCCCAGTTTACAGATGAGGAAACTGAGGCCCAGAGAGTCAGGCCCAAGGTATCCAGCAGTGGGGGCAGAGCTGGGATTTGAACCCAGGTCTGTCAGACTCCCACACCTCCCACCCCCAATCCACATCCATTCTCCCTTTATAACCTAGCAGAGATGAAAAGAGTAAGTCAGAACAATTAAAAAGTAAGAACAGAGAGAAAACACTGCTCCTCTGACCAGCTTCCTTCCCTCCCCAGGGTTGTGCGGCACCTGTGCCCACCCCTGCCCACACCCTGTGCCAGCACTGTGATCGAGTTCCCTAGCAGCCAGGGCAAGCAGGTAAGGGCTCCTTTTCTAATTTAAAGTCCTATTTCTTGGGTCTATATTCTGGGCAAGAGTAATGGCCATGCGTTAACTCATTTTATTCTCCCCTAACCACTGACACAGGGACTCCAAAACCCTGTCCTATTTCACAGATAGGCAAGCAGAGGCCCAGAGAGGAACCTCCTGTGGGTCATTTCCTAACAGTAGAAACAACTCAAAGTGGCTTCAACAAAACGGGAACCTGATGGGGGATGGGGGGTGGATTCCCCAGATGGTGGGCTTCAGGCATGGCTAGGTCTAGGAATCCAGAGACTGGGCATCCATTTGTCTGGACTGCTGTTCTGCCTGCAGGCTTCCCTCCCACTCAGGCTCAGCCTTTCCCCAGTGGAAGAAGGGTGTCCATTTTCCCCATTCACTTTAGCAAAAGTCTCAGGGCCATCACCGATAGGCCTAGTGTGGGTCACATGCTCATCCCTGAGCCTATTGTGGGTATCAGGGGCTAGAGTGCTCTGATTGGCTGGGCCAGGTCACATGTCCATCACTCAACTTGTGGTGGGGCCAAGGCCCAACCACATCAACAGTGAGAAGAGGAGCAATGATTTCCCAAAGAGAAATGGGGTGTGTGTGAGGGTGGGGGTAGGGGGGCTTCCTAAAAGGGGCTGAAGGGGGGGTGTCATTGAGGCAGAGCTGATCCTCAAATTGGTCTCAGGATTTTAGGGAATTAAGCCAGCAGGAACCTGATCTGCCCCTTGTGTGGTTGGAAAATAGGGCCCTGCCCTGAGCCTTGGCCCCACCCTTCCTATCTAGGCTTGGCAGTGGGCAAGCCCCGCAGACTTCCCAGAGGAGGTGTCCCTGAAAGAGGCCTTGGTGGTGAACACGTCCTGGGAAAAAGGTGAGGGAACTGACCTGGACACACCTGCTGGGGAGGTGAAGACAGAGCTCCTTCGGGGCACTCCTGAACTGGCTTTGGACACAGAGCTGCCCCTGGAGGACAGGAGACAGGTGCAAAGCCACCCCGAGACTCTGGCTCTGGGGCCGGGCAGGCAGGAGGGTCTGGAGGGCAACCCTGCCCAGGTGGCTGGACTCTCACTGCCCTTGGGAGACCTGATACAGACCCCCATATTCAGTGGCCCTTCGCACGTAGGCCTGGAGGCCTGAGGGAGAGAGGGGGAAGTTGGCCTCCTCCTTCAGGCAGGAAGACGGAAGGCGGCTGGTTATTAAGCAAACATTGCATACCCAGCCTGTTCCATCTAGACACTCACGTGATGTCCTGATTCCCTGTAACCACCTCGAGAGGTACATGGCTATTCTATTCTACAGATATGACCACTGAGGCTCAGAGAGAGCAAGTGGCTAGCCTGAAGCTAGGGCAGCACAGGCAGGAGTCAAACCTGGGCCGAGTGACCCAGACCCCATTTCCCCGTCCCGGCCCCTCCCCTCCGGCCAGCACAGATTGTGCCACAGCCCCGTGGTGGGAACCCAGGAACCACCATGAAAAGGAAGCTGCCACACCCCCTGACTGCCATGGGGAATAGATTGGAGGGGGGACCCAGAGGGGGGCTCGTGCTGATCCTAGGACCCTAGGCTGGATGTTGTGTCCCAGGAGCACTCGACGGGGAGTCCGGGCACAGAGCTCTGTTGCGCTGCAGGGTCCAGCCCCGGAGGAGGATCTAGTCGTGGGAAAACACGAGGGGCCCTAAGCGTTCTAAGCTGGCCCCTCCTCAGCCTCAGTCTCCTCCCCCGTAGAATGGGGGTGAGGATAATATTGAACTCGCACGTCTGTCGAGAGGGGTCTACGGCTTAATAAATGGGCCTTCTGTTGCGTAACTTTCCCCTGGCTGAAACCTGCACGGACTGTTCAAAACCCCCCAGTAGGGGAGTTCATTCATTCATTCCACACGCATTTATTCATCTCTCCCTTTGGGCGCCCCCAGGAGCACCCGGTCTGGGGGAGACAGAGCGGGATGATCACTCGGAGCTCCGCAGAGTCAGGACTGGGCAAGGGGAGCGACGGCCCGAGAGGGTGTGGGATTTGGTCCCCCCAAAACAGGAGCCTTGGTTCTTCCCCCAGCTCCGCCCCTCTTAGGGGTCCATCGGCCCTCCGCCCAGGGCTCAGGTCGGGAATTGGGGTTCCCCCTTTCTCCTGACACCCAACACCGCACAGCAGGAACGCGTGCCCCCCATTCAGCCCCGGAATCTGCCCTCTTCCTGTCCTCTTCCTCCCCGAGCTCCTCCCATTGTTAAACGAGTCGTCTCGGATTCCCCCCGTGGCCACCAGGTGGCAACAGCAACACGCGTCTCCCAGGCCTAGACCGGGTGCGGGGGGGACCCTCCCCCCGCCGCCCGCTGCGGAGCTTGCAAAACAGACTTTTCCGGTGTTAAGTGGGGGCGGGAGGGGGAGGGAGGGGTGGAGATTAGAACCCAGAACCGCTGGGTTGTGGCAAAAGGACGTGAAGCCTCTGGGTGAGAGGGGTCTGGCCCCACAGGCTGGGAGACTAGAGGTCCAGGCTCCGCCCCTTTGGGGGGCCCCAGTTTCCCATATATGCATCTAGATGGGGAGACAGAAGCCTTGGCCTCAGTGACTGCTCCCTGTTCCGCGCATGCTCCCTCCCTTGAATTTGCCACCTCCCTGCCAGGCAGGCCTTTCCTTGTGGATCAGTTCTCATTCTTTGGTGGCAGGACCAAGTGGGCAGACAGGAAGGGATGCTGGGTCAGCGGCCTCATAAAAAAGACCGGAGTGACCTGAGCCCCTGGCTCAGAACTACCCCCTCAAGTCCAGGACCCCACACCCACCCCTACCGCCCCTGTAAAACCTCCAGGAAAGCAAAAAGCCCCCATGTAGGCTGCCCCAGTCCTGGGCCCACACAGAACAACAGAACCCTGTTTGGTGGACCCTGGAGTTAACAAACCCACACCTAGGCACAGCCCCCTGGGTCCAAGGAGTAGGAGATAGACATTTATTGAGCACCATCTGGAACTCTTGCGGTTGTGAATGGGGAAGATAGACACCTTGCTTCCACTGGGGGGGGGGGGGAGGCTGAAACTGCCTTGGGAAAGAAGCTTTCAGGGAGGACAGCAGCCCAAACAGATGGCTCCCTCGTCCCTGGATTCAGCCATGCCTGAAGCCCACCATCTATATCTATATCTATCTATCTATCTATCTATCTATCTATCTATCTATCTATCTATATCTATATATCTATATCTATATATGTCTATATATATCTGGGAGACACCCCTCTGGGTCTCTGTTTGCCTGTCTATATAATAGGAAGGGGTTCAGAGCACTGGTTTGGGGTCCTTACCTCAATGGGTTGAGCAACCCTGCTTAGCGGAGCCCTGGCCCCACGTTTTTTGAGCACCTGCTGTGTACTCATTACTCTAGGGCCCTCTGAATGTCCATCCCTCAGCTCCTCCCAGAAGCTCCAGGAGTCAGGACTGTAGTAGACCCCATTTCACATCTGTATTCATTCCTTGATTTGTGAAGTCAGTGTTGAGCACCTACTGTATGCCAAGCCCTGTCCTATACAGGTCGGAATCAGTTCTGTCATGAGGGGCTTCTGGTGGGGTGAGGAAGGCAGACGCTAATCTACTCACCATACAGGGAGTTACAATAACCCCGAGAGAGTGACGAGCGAAAGTGTGAAGAACAGTGGGTGAGAGAGGGCTTCCTGGAGGGGGTGATATCAAGATGGTGAGGGGAGGTCAGCAAAATGAGAGAGCAAAGGCCCTGAGGCAGATGTGGTTGATGGGGAAGTGGGTGAGCCAGGGGGATAGAGGTCACTACTGGGGCCGAGGGGGTTTATTCCTAGGCTGGGGGGGGGGTGTCCTGGAGCAGGATTGTTGAGGCCCAATTTGTGAGTTGTTCAAAGATTCTTCCTGCTGCTGTTCAGAGGAGCAGGTGACTCAGCCTTACTGGCCTCAGTGTTCTGGTCTGTAAAATGGATAAGGAGGTTTCTCCAGAGCCCTTGGCCCCTTCTCACTCCCTCTCCTCTGTCTCTACCTCTCTTAAGTCTTATCAGAGAGAGAGGCTGCCTCAGTTTACCTCCCCAGATACCTCCCTCCTCTATTTCTCCAGTGGCCTCTGGGTTTGGTCAGAAAGAAACATTGTCTCTGTCTCTGCCCTCGAGCCAGGATGGGGCTGCGGTATCAGCGGCCCCCGGGGACCCTGGGCTGTGGGAGATGACACACAGGACAGCCGTGGCCTGGCCTCTCACACATAACTGCCCGAGCCCTGCAGATGACAGGGATGCCCTGCCCCCAACTGTGCGCCTTTGTTCATTCCTCCTTTTTTTGTTTTTCCGTGTTTTTTTTTTTTTAGAGATATCCACATACCATACAAATCACCCTTGCAAAGTGAACAATTCCATAGCATTTGATGTATTCCCAATGTTGTGCAATCACCGCCTTTGTCTAATTCCAGAACATTTTCATCACCTCAAAAGGAAACCCTGTGCCCATGAGCAGTCACTCCCCCTCCCGCCTCCCCCAGTCCCTGGCAACCACCAATCTGCTGTCTCTATGGATTGGCCTGTTGGGACATTTCCTATCCAGGGGATCACACAGCACATGGCCTTTGTGTCTGTTCTTTTGTGGAAGAAACAGCATCATGTTTTTGAAGTTCATCCCCGTTGTAGCATGAATCAGAACCTCATTCTTTTTTATGGCTGAATAATATTCCACTGCGTGGATGGATCCCTGTTTATTTCTTCATTCATTCCTTGATGGGCACCCCGGGGGGTTCCACCTTCTGGCGATTGTGAGCAATCGTTTCCGCTGCTGTGAGTATGGTTTACAGGCTCTGGTGTGAACACCTGTTTTCAGTTCTTCTTAGTATCTGCCTAGGAGTACAAATGTTGGGTCATAGGGTAATTCTGTGTTTAACTTTCCTTCTCGAGGTGCTGCCGGATTCCCATCAGCAATGTGTGAGGTTTCAGATTTCCCCACATCTTCATCAATACCTGTTATTTCCCTTTTGGGGGGCGGGGAGCCATCCTAGGGTGAGGTGGTGTCTCACTCTGATTTGATTTGCCTTTCCCTGAGGACTGCTGGTAGTTGAACACTTTTTCATGTGCTTATTGGCCATTTATTATATCTTTGGAGAAATCTCTCTTTGAATCCTTTCCTTATTTTTAATTGGGTTATTTATCTTTTTATTATTGAGTCCTAAGAGGTCTTTATATAGTCTGGATATTGATCCCTTGTCAGAAGATTTGTAAATATTTTCTCCCACTCTGTGGGTTACCCCTTCACTGTCTTAAGAGTGTCCTTGTAGAGGGGCACCTGAGTGGCTCAGTCGGTTAAGCATCTGCCTTCGGCTCAGGTCATGATCCCAGGGTCCTGGGATTGAGCCCCGCATCGAGCGCCGCATAGAGCCCCGCATCTGGCTCCTTGCTCTGCAGGAAGCCTGCTTCTCCCTCTCCCACTCCCCCTGCTTGTGTTCCCTCTCTCGCTGTGTCTTTCTCTGTCAAAAAAAAAAAAAAAGTGTCCTTGTAGAAAAAAAAAAACACATTTTTTTTTTAATTTGATGGAGAATTCATCAAATTCTTGTTCCTTTGGTTGCTTGTGATTAGGTGTCATACCCAAGAATGCGCCTGGTCTTCGCGCATCTCTCCCATCCTCCTACCCCCGGCGCCTCCCTCTGGTCCGCAAACCCCCTCCCATTGGCGTTGGGGCATCTGCGCCCTAGTCCCCCAACCGCGAGGCCTCCCGGGCAGGCACCCAGCCGCCTCCATCAATGTTTAATAACGAACGGAGCGCACGGAACCTTGGCACCGACGTGGGAAACCCCGCCCGGAACCATCTGCCCCTTGGCGCCCCCTGTGGCCACGCGTGGGCGTCGCGACCGCGCTGGGCCCCACTGTCTCGGTGGACCGAGCAAGACCCGGGCGG